GACATTGTAATTTTATTAATTTAACAACTGTTTTTGTAATCTAACATCCCTTTCCTTTGGTATGCATTGCCAGATGATAAATATTGGAGATGTACTAGGATGTTAGTGGACATTTCTCGTTTGGCATTTCTCGATCCATATCCCTATCACCCTGGATCAAATTTTATGGTAATCTAAAAAAACACCTCGGATGGAACGGATACCAATTTCGTCGACGTTATTTGCAACTTGACTTTGGAACATTACAATGTTCTCTTAGTATTGCCTCGACCCTGCGAATCAGAATGTGCACCAATCCCTTGGGTAAGAGAAGCATGGTTTTGGGAAGAGCTAACTGATGGTGGACATCATCACCCTCGGCCCCTTTTACTCCAGCTACTACGAGCTCGAGGAGTACGTTAGCCAAGGCCAATCATTCTCAACGCCCATGTTGCCTGTTCTACTAGTCCAACAACTAATTAATCTTGTTTTCTCGTATCTGTCGAATGGCTTTGTTTTCTTGTATCCTATTAATCAAAGAAAATATTTCTCTTAAATCAAAAGCAAAGAAGACTGCTACTAGATTTTAAATGCATATAAAAAATTGTATGACATGGCTTCTCTGGTTCTTGGAGTTTGTGGTTTTGTTCTAGTGTGGAATACAAAGGATGTTTAGATAGACTAATCTGGCTGGTTTAAATAAAAATAAAATCCAAATTCATAGGTTCTTGTTTGAAAATGACGTCATTTTATCGAATAAAAGATTCGATTTTAAGTTTTTCCTAAATAAAAACGACTTCAATTCTATCGACGTTGTTTTTAGTCAACGAAACTGAGCCAGCTAACCCACGTGTTGTCTTAATCATCATTCCGTTAACATTGACTAATAGAAAAATGGTCAAGGTATTTACATTTCGGCACATCTGATGTTACTTCATGTATGACATTTAAATTATTAAGTTTAGGTTGAAATTAGCCACATGTAAAAATTCATATCTAAAAGGGCATGACGGGAAAAATTGAGGTCGAAATTGACCGTTTCCCTAATACAAGCATGTTGTCAACTTGTAAAAAAATATTAGCTACAGAGAATTGACCAAATTCATCGATATTAGCTACAGGCCAATTGCCCAAATGTAAAGCTTAATTGATCATAATTAAAAAAGACGAGAGATAATTAAGAAACCTACAAAAATGGATTGCCTCTATTTGATATTAACTACGAATTTTATGGATCATAATTTTACCCTAGTGCATACCTTTATTACGATAATTTTAAATGGAATACATGATAACTGGTCACTGAATAAACAACCAAAAGAGTTGATAGATGAAAGCAATATAGTCAGCAAGTATAACCATCATAAACTGATTTAAATCTTCAAGTCAATCATCTAATAATTAATTTTGAAAGCAAACTTCGACCCGATGATCATAAGATCCCAATTCCATATGACATATCCCTCTTGCTTAAGTGTGGAGTGAGTGTCATTCTTGCAAGCCACGTGGACAATAAATCCCATTTTCACCAGATCGCTAATTGTGGACTGGAACCCAGCATCAGAACTCACCACGAAAATATGGTATGGCGCATGGTTGGTCTCTGTGAATTCAAGTATACTACACTTAAGCATGCCATAAGATAAACCCATTTTCGTAGGATAGCGTTCTGCAAAGGT